TATATATATATATATATATATATATACAACAACATGAATGAATCCAAAGAAAACATGATGAAAGAAGCATATGGTTTGATTCTATTTGTAAGAAATTCTTGAATAGAAAAAGAAAAATTGATCTATTATGACAGAATCAGGCAAGAGTTTGCTTTGTGCCAGGATGGAGTGGAGAGGAAGCCAAAGGGAATGGTTACCCATGTGGGCACATTTGTCAAAACTCATCAATTGTTAAACTACCTTCATTTATTGTATATCAACTTTTCCTCAATATGACTGTTTGAAAAGATACAACAACCCACACAAAAAGTAGTAAGCCAAATGGATGGGTTAATAACACGCTAAACACGCTGAAGAAAAATACCGTGTGTAGTAGGGAAGTAACATGAGACAGTGTGAAGGGGTAAAAGGGGACAACTACTTCTAAAAAGGTTAAGACATTGGAAGACTGTGGTTCCATACACCTTTGATATGACTTCTAGAAAGAGAGAATAGAGAAGATAGGCACAAGGCAATATTTAAGGATTGAAACATGTCCTAAGTTTGTCAAAGACACAAATTCCAATCACATAAGAAAATTTCATACTTACATACAACCTGTTAAAATTAAAAAGAATGCCAAAGATAAATAAATATCAGAAGCCATCATTCTATAATGATTTTGTATTTTAACTTTGCATTACCCTCTTTTTTTCCCTTTTCTTTTCTTGTTTTTCATTCCCCCAAAATGCTTGAGTAAAGAAACCAATCCCGTTCGGCACTTGGGAGTTGTGTATGGTGCATGTAAAAGCCTGGAGTTAGAGCTGGACTGAAGTTCTTGAATCACTTCATACTTAGTCTTTGAGCTTGGGAAAGTTAAACACTACAGCTTCAGGGAACCAGCAGTTAGCGTAATGGCTATGTTGCTGGACTTCCACGTAGTTGACCACGGTTCGTGTCCCGGACCCGGTGGCTTAAAACTCAAGCCAGGCGCGTGTGCGTGCGTGCCCAAGATCCTGAGAGGAGAATGGAGGAGAAGGGATTGCGGCGTGACCATCCCCCCTGGGGGGTGATTTCTCGCTTTCTGTCTCTATGTCTCTCTCTGTCTGTCTGGCGAGCGCACGCGCCCTACAGTGAAAATCTCTCCAAAAAAAAAAAAACCACTACAGCTTCAGTTTTCTCATTTATAAAATAAGGATAATAATGATCTATGTCTCTTAGAATTATTGTTGTGTTAAAGCAGTGTCATAGTTTTATATCAAGGTGATATCATATAAGTGTCTCTTAGAATTATTGTTGTGTTAAAGCAGCTGTCATAGTTTTATATCATGGTGATATATAAATGATAGTAATTAATATTCATTGGACCAGGTATTTGAGAATCTAGTTCATTTATTACCTATTATAATTATTAATTACTATGTATCATGTTTTGATCATAAGTCTCTGGACAAGTCATTTAAGTACTCTATATCTACTTCATTTCAAAAAATTGAGATTAAATACCCACTCTGCAAAAGATTATGGTAAAGAGAAAATGAGTTAATATTTTGTGAAAGTCTCATAGATGCTAAAGTTTCATGAAAATGCCAGAGGTTATTACTATTGAGTTGTCAGAAAGGTCATGACACATTTTGCATAGAAAAATACATCATGACCTTTCCGACAACCCAACATTTCAACTTCATTCTTAAATTTGTCAGCTATAGTTTGAATACTGTACTAACCACAGTGAAATGTTTAAAGTACTGAGCAAAGTACTTGCTGCCTCGCATCTTATAATTTGCCAGAAGGCAGAGAAAGGACACAAAGATGCTTAAAACCACCTATGACCAGCCTTTAAATGCAAATGCCTGTGTTACCCTGCATGCTAAGGATAGTTCCTGTGGGAGGACTTATTGCTATGGGGCCAGGCTGAGTTCCACTGAGAAACTGCATTCATACTACAGTTTGTTTGTTTCTTCAAGCACAGCTCTGCCTCTTAGTTGCTTTCTCTAAGCTCCACCTGAAAGTGCCTTCTCTTTTCTTGCGCTGCTTATACTGTACATTATAGACTTTTTGTTTACACGCCTATATTCTCCAGTAAGAATGACTGAAGAAGTAGGAGTTCATGGGGTTCCCATTACATTTCCAGGCACAGTGTTTGGCACAGAGAAATCACAGCTGGCAACTGCAGTCTGTTACTCAGTAAAAGGTAACAAACATAGTTACTGCCCTCAAGAGCTCAGAAACTAGCCTCCAAGCACGTGATGGCTTAGCGTTTTGATGCACGTTGTAATGGCAGCATGACAGGAGCAGAACACTGGCACAGGGAGGGGGCACTCCTCTCCTCTTAGGAGGGAGAGGCTTGGAGCAAGACTCACCATGGTCAAATCTCAATCTCCTTACAGAGAACAAATAGGAATAGCTAGAGGAAGACACAAAAGCATGAAGCACCATGGTATACTTAGGTGATTGCAAGTAGTTTGAGTTGGAGAATTAGGTTCAAATGCAAAAACGAGAGAAAAGGGGCAAGATTGTAGAGAGCCTGTATAAGAGACGGTAGGGGGCAGACGGTGGTGCAGTGGTAAAATACAGCACTCTGTGAGGCAATCCCATGTCAGAGGGTTACTGGTTCGAGTCTGGAGACCTACCTATCTATCTACACACATGTCCATGATCTGGGGCTGGTTGAATAGATCAATGTCAAAACCCTGTTGGGGATGTTCTCTTATTCATGTACTCATGGAATAAGTAAGTAAATAAAGCTTGAAAAAGACTGTATTGTATTTGGATATTTCTTGTGGACATAAGGAGCCACAGAAGAGTTTAAATAAAGGAGTCATATGCTGAGATTTGTTTCTTTTAGCAATACTAATTGTTCCACATTTTAACCACACAGCAACAGAAAACAAAGGTGTAGAATCACATTAAAAGAAGTTCTCCACGTTTGTTTTATGGTCTAATAGGGAAGCTGATCCCACATGGCCAACCAAGCAGTTTCAAATCTCAGCCTCTGATGGCTTGAAAAACATGCTTGGTACACGTATGTAAATGCGCAAGGTCCTGGCAGGATGGAAGAATGGAGCAGGGATTCCAGCATGACCATTCCCCTCTGTGGGAGAGAAAGGTACTCTCTCCCTCTCTCTGTGTCTCTCTCTGGGGAAAAAAAAAAACAAAACCACAGAAAAGTAAACCAAAAAAGCTAAAAAAGAAAAAAAAATCTTCAGGGACCACAGGAGGCACAGTGATTGAGGTGCTGGACTCCCGTGTGGCCAACTGTGGTTGGAGTCCTGGACCCAATAGCTTGAAACTCACACTGGGTGCATGTGCATGCGTGTCCAAAATCCTGAAAGGAGAATGGAGGAGAAGGGATTGCAGGGTGGCCATCCCCCACTCCTTTCAGGAGCGGTGATTTCTCACTTTCTGCCTGTCTCTGTCTATCTGGTGAACACTCATGGCCTAATAGCAAAAATCTCTAAAAAACCCAAAATCTCCAAATATGTTTGTTTTCAATCTTAATCCTTATTTGTGTCAACAGACCTTAGAAAAATTCTTTCTTACCTTGTGACTGCTTTTGGGATGTCATCGAACAGCCACTGTGGTCCAAAGAGTCCATATCCACTGGCTATTAACGCAGTCATCATCCCACTTTTCAAATTAATTTTTGTTCATGTTGCATATCTTAATGCAAAGGAGATTCCAGTTAAAAGGGCCCTTTTAAATGCATCCTCCTCTTGATGGTGGTAACCTGTTTTCAACTAGTATGACATCGGACTACAACTGTGACATCACTGAGCTGCTCAAAGGTCAGGGTAGGGAGGGAAGCGCCCACTGAGATAAAGACTAAGAAATCCTTGTGCTCTACTCCTTACCCAGATGCTTTAACAGGCTGGCTATTACCTCGAGAAAATAATTGTGTGACAAGACCAACCTGATGACCCTTAAATGTCCAGTCAAATTATTATCTGGTGTAATCGATGTGTATCTTTAGTTACACACATGGGCACGCACAGACAAGCATACGTGTGTCTGTGGTTTTGTTTGTGGATTTAGGCATACGCGTTCAAGTGGATGTTCCTTGCAGGAGATCATAGCTGTTGTTACGCTGTCTATGGTTATTTTGAAGAGACAACGTGGCATGGGGAGGGAGGAAGATGATCTAAGTATATCCTGCCAAAGCAGCTGTATTTAATAATTTAACCAAAATTTATGAGCAGGCATTGCTTTAGCCTTGGGTATGCAAAAATGAATATAGTTTCTGACTTGAGGAATTGTGTCTAGATCTAATGGGCTACACACAAAGAGAATAAATTAAATTCACATTCTATGGTAGAGCTAATGGGTCTCTGTAGAAACCAAGGAGGAAGGGACTGGAGTCATTAGACACTAACTGCCTTTTCAGTACAAGGCACTCTTCTACAAATGAGGCTGAGGAAGAATAAGATATAGACATATTCCTAAAGAAGTTACGAGTCCATGAACAGGCAATTACAGGACACATCAGCATCTCAGTCATGTTTTCCAAACACCTACTTCCCAAGTAGGACTTCTTCCCTCCCTGGATCTTGCTATTTTAAACTCTTACCTTTTAATTTTGTTCATATAAAGATGACACACTATCTCTTTTCAATCTATTGTTTCAATTCCATCATCTCTCATGACAATGGAAATTTCATTTGTATTAGAAAGATGAATATCTCACTTATACACATTTACTTAGTGCATATTACGTGTTCCAGGCGCAATTCAGAGTGAATGAAGCAGCCCTGACTATCACCGACAGGGTGGGACGGGTTCAGGCAATGTCTGTATTACCATCCAGGCACTTCCTCTGAAGTCCTAGCAGGGTTAGATAATCTTTGCAGCAGGAAAGCCCTTGACGACGGCCTCCCACCTCTGCTGAAGATGAGCTGAAAGCTACTGAGTCCCAAGGAGTGCTCCCTCTTTATCTCCTCAAGAAAAAGTATTGTCTCACAAGTGTTTGTGACACACCCTCTGGGTCATCAAGAACAGAACCAGAACTCCCGATTCATTCCAGATGAATTCCCCGAGCAACTGCTGATTGGCAATAATAACTTTGAAGTTGGGTGAGAAACGAATCCTCATTTTCAGGGTTGAAATATATTATGTTCTAATATTATTTTATAGTGACATAATACCAGCTTTTTGAGTGTAGGGTTGAAATTTTAAAATTTTAAATTGCTAAAATAAGTTGCCATTTTTTCATTTGACTTAAAAACTTTTTAACTTTTAATTTTCTTTTCTTTTCTTCCCCTTTTCCCCCTTCTCTTCTTGCTTCTGTTTCTTCTCATTCCTCCTTTCCTTTTCTCTCCCTCTTCTTTCTTAATTTTCTTCTTTGATTTGCTACTCTTTCATGTTTTATATCATTTTATTAATACAGTTTGAGTTTTTCAAAATAGTATTTTTGTCATTTTGATCTCTGTCTTCCAAGTGAGATTTCATTGAGATTGTATGAGATTTACCCTTAACGCACATTGTTGCTCTTCATCTATGAAACTGGTTTTCCTGACTGTTTATAGAGAAGTACTCTTCTAACTTCACAGACCACTCTCACTTTTCAGCTATTTGCAGACAGTCTTAAAACTATATCTTCTAGGGGACCAGCAGTTAGCGTAATGGCTATGTCGCTGGACTCCCACGTGGTCGACCGTGGTTCGAGTCCCGGACCCGGTGGCTTAAACTCACGCCGGGCGCGTGTGCGTGCGTGCCCAAGATCCCGAGAGGAGAATGGAGGAGAAGGGATTGCGGCGTGGCCATCCCCCCTGGGGGGTGATTTCCTGCTTTCTATCTCTCTTTTCCCTACTTTTATCTGTGTCTTTGTTCCTTTATCTCTACTGTGTCTGGTAAAGTTAGAGCAGTTTTCCTTCAGTGTGGAGCCCTGTGTGGGGAAGGAAGCTCTTGGGGCTGGTTCCAGTGTCCTAGGGAGTGGTCTGCCTCTCCTTTCACAGAACTCCCAGCAGGTGTCTTCATTGCAAGGACTGCTGGCACCTGCTCAACCTCAGTTACCTTCTCAGCCACAGTCACCTTTTCATGTGGCCTGCAGCATGCTTCAGGATTTCCTGTTGGGTGTTTCATTTCTTGTGTTCTCGGGACTATCAATGCCTCATTGCTCCCCTGGGTTTTTCCCACAGACACCAGTTGACACCCAGTCTTATGACCACAAGGAGCTGCTCCAGTTGACACCCAGTCTATGGCCGTGGGGAGCTGCTCCAGTTGACATCCAGTCTTATGGCTGTGGGGAGCTGCTCTCTATTTGCTGGTATTTTGAGGCCTGTGTTGGATGTTAGTTTTGCTATTTAGTTGCTCTTTTTTTTTTTAAGAATCATTTTTTTAATTTAATTTTACTTATTACTATTATTTTAAATTTGCTATAGAACATGTGTGCTCACCAGAGAGAGAGAGAGAGAAAGTGACAAAGTGACAAAGCAAGCTGCCAGGTCTGGGACTCGAACTGAAGTTGGCCATGTGGGAGTCCAGTGCCTTACCCACCATGCCATCCACTGGCCCTCAATTCTACTTTTCTTAATGTGATGATTTTGGAAGAAATAAACAAAAACCAAATTGTGTTGCTGCTGCTCTATTCCCCGAATCCCACAATTTACTTTACAGTTCAGGAGCCTGAGGCCAGGGGTCTTCTGTCCAGGATCGCACAGCTAAGAGCAGACGATGACTGAACTGTACATGGAAGCACTTGATGCAGGCAAGGGGCAGAATGAATGCAGGTGCTTTCTGGTCCTCTCGCTCATCGTTCTTCTCTTCCTTGCTTGTGTGTGTGCGTGTGTGTGTGTGTGTGTGTGCATGTAACTTTTGCCATACTGCACAAGTCAGAGGGAGAGAGAGAGAGAGCTAGAGAGACAGACAGAAAGTGAGAGGGAAAGTGAGAAATCACCTCTCAGGGAGGATGGCTACACCACAATCTCTTCTCCAGTCTCCTGGGATTCTGAGCACACATGCACATGCACCTGGCGTGATTTTCAAGTCGCCACTGGAGTTAATTCAATAAAACTAGTTGTACTAAAACGTACATCAGCCTCTTGCTCTATGAAAATTTTCTTTGTTTTTAAGCTCATTTCCTTTTCAAATGAAATTTACAAATGTCAGATTTTCTGACACCTACCCCAGCAAAATGTGGCTTATAGAAGTAAATTGATACCCTTAGTTTAATGAATCTATAGGAATTTTATGGAAACCTTTAAATGCTTTCTTTTTCATCTTCTACCCCCGCCCAGGAAACCACATTTGATAAAAAGTAAATGAAATTTGATCCTAAAATACCGTTGACTTCACTTGCAAATTGAAAATCCACTGAATTAAAAGACTTTTTTATACTTTTCCAAAGGCAAATGCCCTGCCTGTGAAAAATCTTATAAAACTGTTGGTTAGCTATTCAGTTCTGAGACACAAGGCCAGGAAAGCCTAAGCTCCATTAGGTAGGGGACTCGGCTCCTGATAATACATGAGGGAAAGCAACTCAGCAGAAATTAAATGTGCCGTGAAGGTTCCCAAGGAACCGCAGATGCTGTAGTGTAAAGACTTCAGTTTACTAATTTTTTCGTAATTGTCTACAGAAGACCAATTAGTAATTAGATCATGGGGACCAGAGTTCTGCTTAAGGTTGAAGTCACCACACGGGACCTTTGGGGTTTTCTTTCAGGTCAGTCCTTTATGAACTCCTGTTCCAATTCTGGGCCTATAATGGATTCCCCAGGCTGGCGATACACTACACAGAAAATGCCGTTTCCTATTTTTCTTTTCCCCCTTAAACTTCCTGCTCTTACTGTGCAGGCTTAGCTCATACTCTTTGAATGTACTTAGTGTGCTTTGCATAAAATTTCCTTCACTCATCTACACATAGTAGATAATGGTTATGTGCCTATAAATCTAACAGGTACTAAGTTTTATTTAGCTTCCTCCTCTGTGGGCACTCTCTGAACAAGTGCACAGTTGTTCCTGAAACATTTCCATTTTTATGAGATTTGGAACTGTTTCTCCTTGTTGCTTTGTGCGCTTCTTAGCAGCTTGAGGCTCCTTCTTTCATGGTGTTTACTCTGGAGCTGGTGTGAACAGAGGCTCTTGGAAATGGTAAAGTGTTAATATCCATGACTGTGTTCTGCTTTATGGAAAAGATTGCTTCTGCAGGCTGCCAGGAGCTGCAACAGAAACACACCTTCCACAACACACTCTGACACACACAGTCATGTACGCTCACCCTCTCACACTCTGCTTTTGCATGTGCACAACCAGGCCAGGAAACTTGACCCCATGTTGATTGCAACGTTGCTTTGCATTCATTTCCAGAATGTTTGGAACTGCACATGTGTTTCCCATTAGCACTCATGTTTGATTGTTCTAAGTAATTTTTAAAAAATTAAATAAACCTGTATCAAAAATTGTCACTTTGCATTAAAGAAGGGCAATTAATCCACTTTGGGGGAGCAAAGAAAGAAAGAAACAAAACGTTTCTCCTTTTTTACATGTATTTCCACAAACGAGAGCAGTATTAAGACATAGTCATACATTAGAGGTTCAAGGGATTTTAAATAGCTTTTAAACAAATCAAGCACAAAGCAGCATTACTTATACAAAGAAACTCATTTAAAACAGAGCCCATTAATGAACTGTGATTTAAGACCATGTCTGCTCTAAATATATGTTTAGAATTAAAAGTTACTGGGCCAGAAACTGAAAGTTAAGTAAGCTGATACCGGAGTAAAATAACTCTAGCTTTGGAGGTACATTAATTGTTCCAATCCATGAGGGCATGATTTGGTAAATTGTCATACCGAATATAATACACTTTGTCCTAAAAGACATCGTAAATTTTTGGAAGTGCAGTTACTTGAATCTGTATTTTACCTAACAACCTAAGGGCCACCCCCAAACTCAGCTTGGTAATGCCGTGCCCCCTTTAAGACAAAAGGAAAGAAAATTCTATGTAGCTATTACCTATTGGGTCATTGGAAAAGTCTTGATGTGTTTTTCTATGCAAAAAATGTATCATGACTCTCCTGACCACCCAATGTTTATTCTAGCTGTCTAGCTAGATAGATCGAGTTGGCTATCATCTATTCATCTCATTGTCAGTCATCCCTTCTATCATCTATGTAACCATCTCTTGACAGCTCTCTAAGCTACCTAGCTGTCCCTCATTGTCTACCCCTATACGTGAATCCAAGTGGCTAAATCAAATGTTTCAAGACCCAAGTATCAGGCTAATGTTCTCCCCTGACTCCTTACCTAGTCTTGCAGTTCACTCTTTGGTCCTACACATTTTGCACAATATTTTGTGTATAAACTGTATTTTTTATTTCTTATATTTTATGATGCTTTGACATGTTGGGGGTTTTGGGAGCCCAGGGAGGGATTTCCCCTCTCCAGATTATCTAATTCCTAGAGAACAAGCTCCTGGCCTGGGGGCACAGCTTTGATAAACAAACCAGTCAATCAGACCCATTCTCCTAATCACAGAAATCCTCTCTCTGCCCTAAATTACCCCAAGGCCAGGCATCAGACACTCAGGGATCACCCTTATAGCCAAGATCCTGTTGAAACTATTCAAACTACCTAGCTAGGCTCTGCCTTCCCACAAAGCCCAGTGTGGACCCAGGCCCAGGTTTCCTCTCCTTTCTTCTCCTGCCTGACATGGGTGGTCCCTGT